ATCCTTCAGGTCTGTTTGCACATCTTTAACTGCAGATGAAAAAACCTGGGTGTAAAATCATCCTAGGACCTTTGCTGTAATTTTTGAAATGTGCTCAATATAGGTTCTTATAGCCACAGAGCAAGTGTCAAACTATGGAGATGCACGGAAGCATGCTCTCCATGGAGGAGAGAATCACAGACTGTGGAGCTGAGATGGACTTCCGAGACTTCTGGTCTGACCTGCCCCCCTTGTTGGTGAGAATACCGCAGCCCAGTGATGTAAGGGGACTTGTTCAGGATCTCACAGGTAGTGGCCAGTTTGGTACCAGGATTCCCTGACTTCCAGCCTGTTCCTTGACCATATCAAGGTGACTGCTCATTCAGAAGATACTAGTATTGCAAGACTGAGTAATCTAGAAATTAACCATTTCACAATAATTTTTCTTGGGTAGAATCTGACTCATTATTTACTCTGCTAGCAAATTCTATGGTCACAAAAATGTATACAAAGATTAATTATAATTTTGTGGACCAAAAATTACTTGTCATAATGTGTCACCTTCTTTTTGTACCATGCAGGTACACAACTCCTTTACAGCACTCAACATAGAGTCATTTTTTGTCCACTGGTCTGTCTGGTCTACTAGACTGTGAGTTTGATAGCTACAGAGATCATGCTTTTCTCCTCCCTTTATTTCCATGGTGCATGGTTCAATAATTGTCAAATGAATACATGAAATCCAGAACCTAGGGAAGGAGCAGTGGTGCTTTCACATGGGGCCTGAAATCACTGGGCAAAAGCCAGGGCTGGCTTTCCCATTTGGTGAACACCCCTCACTGTGGTTTAGGAATCATAATAGCTGACATGCATCGAGGGCTTATGTGCCAAGCACCGTTCTAAATGCTTTGTGTGCATTTACTCATTTCATCCTCACAATCCTATGAAATACCACCCTGTGAGCCCAGCGTTGTAAACGAAGTTACAGAGAAGGTAAGTGATGTGCTTGGACTTACAACCTAAGCAACCTGAAGCCAGATCATGTGCTTTTAACCTCTGGGCTATTCTGCAGTCCAAGGACTGAAACAGACATCTTGACCCTCTTTTTGACCTCTAAGTCAAATGTATGTATTTGAAAATTTCAATGTAACCATGGCGAACTTCCTGAAATTCCCCCAAACTGGACTTGCATATTTCCGTTTTCCTTCACCTCTCCATTCCCATCTCTATGAACACATCTGTCACCTCTCCGCTTCAAGTGCCAACTCTCGGAAACCCTTCCCTAGTTTCCTCTCAAATCAGAATTAATCTCTCTGTTCTTAGGTGCCCTTTGTTGAAACTTCTTTTTTGGCACTTCCCACATCGTGCCGGGGATGAATCACTTGGGGGTTCGTCTATCTCTCAGCTAAACCGAGAGCTCTGGGAGGGCAGGGGCTGGGTGGGACTTAGTGTTGTCTTTTCAGCGCTCGCTGCGCTCTCAGTAGGTGCTCGGGGTTTTCGGAGGCGAGGTTCATTTTTTAAGGAGTCCCGAGTTGCCGTCTGCCGGCTCTGTCTGTTTTCGGACGACGGTGTGGGCTGAGCCGCCCTTGCCCGGCCGCTCCCCGCGCCGGCCCGCCCCGGCCCCTGCC